AAGATTTTTTTTGTGACTTTGGTTTAACAAGCTCTGCATGTATAACAAACATCTTCTATTAACGAAACTTTTCATAAACCGAAACCGAACCGTAATTTTTCGGTTTGAACCGAACCGTTCGGAGCTTTAAAAAATTATAAATTGGTTAGTGTCAAAAAAAACAGAGAATTTAGGAAAATGATTATACAAACAGACACTATTTTACAACTTTCCTTCTAACATCAGAGTCCAAATGCAATTTCAGGGCCACAAACCCTTCTCTGAATTGTAACCTCCTCTTGATATTCCTCCAGAGTTGCGACAGCTTGGTCACAGAGCCATCCTTATCCTAGAGTAGGATCGTTGCAGGCAACTTTCTGGCCAGCATGCCAGCAGTTTTCTCTGGTCTGATGCTGTGAGGGAAGATTAGTGAAAGTGTCATTGACGATTGGTGCAGTCTTGATGCATTCCAGGGCATTGCGCCCCTCCCCTAGAATTTAACAGCATCGTTGTATCATCGAGGGGTCGCAAGTCAGATTAACCTTATGTACACGAGGAAGATGAGAGAATGACTGTGATGTGTTCAAGATAGCGTGCATGCTTCAACGCCTGCTATTTTCCTGTAATCAAACGTCACATACTCAAAATGTCTCTTTTTCAATGGTGTGCTGCCTTGACATCTTCTTGTAATTATTATAGCAACATTAATAATATTATTATTATTACAATTACGCAAAGCAAAATACCAATCATTCGTTGTTGATAAGAATCTTATAATTACCCAGCAAGATCTGCTTCGCGTTTTGATTCAATTAAAATATTTACAAACTAAAATAAAAATATCAATACAAATAAAAAAAGTATCTGGTTAGCTATTAAAACGTTTTCTTTAGGAGACCCAAACCAAACCAAACAACAACACTCGCGTTTTGTCATCTTGGACTCTGTCAAAAAATAAAAAAAAAATCAATTCACGTCAAATCTTTGTGCAACACCAAGTACCAATAATAAATAATCAATGACGCGTTTGATTGATCAAATAAAATTTCCCCCTGTTTTTTATTTAACAATTATAAATATACCTTTCATATATTAAACTAATTTTCATACTGCTTTCAGCATTTTTTAGAGAACTTAAAATTGCTCTTTGTTGTTCTTTTGTATCTTGATTAAAATAATCTTTGGCATACTTCCTAATTTTTTAAGAATTTATTTTATAAAAAAAAAAATGAACAAATCCAACGATAAAAAAAGAAGAAAATCCAAAAATAAAGGAGAAGCAAAAGAATAAGTGTTTTAAGGATGGTGATGGTGGTCGCCACTACTCATTGTTACTCTAGTTATTAAAAAAAATGGTAGTTGTGGTTGCGATCATTAGCCCATATTATCATTCTATATATATAGTCATTATTGAAAGAATGGCGGTAGTAGTTTCTGTGACTCTATATAGTTATTGAGAAGAATGATGGATTATCATCATTCGAGAGCTTTTCTAACTGCTGATTGTCATATATTTGCTTAGTAAACCCGTTGTTAATAAAGAAAACATTAATTATGATGGAATACTTGCTGATATTAGTGGGTAAGTTATTACTATTTAAAGATAATCCATGATTTTCTTTCTTTTCTTTCTGACTGAGTATCTAACTTAATTTCGCCTATACCGGATAAAGTGTCAATGGGGAGAACATAGTACAGATAAAAAAGGTGAAATCATAAATAACTTTCGAATAACTTTCAGATGGCAAATAATTAATGACCTCCTGTTTCATGATTAGGTGAAATTCGATGAGAAGGGACAAGAATCAGAAGCTAAAACCGAGATTCCATTTAAGACCAGAAAATACAATTTGTATGTTGATGGAGAAGACATACGATCTTTAATTGATAGGTAGTGTCAATCAACAAAATATGTTGCTGAAATACATAAACAGGAGTATATGTTCTTTAAATTTATCTTACTTCCGAAATTGTTTGGGTTAAATTAACATTTCGCGTGCATTATTTTTAGTGCTCCATGTCGCAATCCAAAAAAGGAAATCAAAGTGGTCGCAAAGGTGGTTGCAACCAGGTGTCGCAAACCATTTTTATATGTCGCAAATATGGTTGCAACCATCACCAAGAATTGCGACCAGCATCTATAATTATTTTAGTTTGTTATTTTATCACATTATAGATAAAATTGAATCATCAGCAACTGTTGCACAATCTGTTTTTAAAGATAGGTGGACTGATTTGATTAATGTTATGGAAGACATTTTTACACCTAGTAATATTGATCCCAATGAGAAACAAGACGTGAAGATTTATATAAAAGAACTTATGAAAAAAGTGGTGAGAGGATTATTTGGTTGCAAATAATTATAGTTCATTTCTAATATCTATTGTTTTAAAAAAAGATAACATGGGAACAGCTGGATAACGTTATCAAGGTTGAAAAGAATAAATTACGTACATCTAAATATGAGGGATGGAAATATCAAATTATAAAGCTCTCAAAAATTTTGTAAGTGCCTTTTCACTCTTGAATTTCCTTTAAATGTCACATGGCCAATTTTGCTGATATGTAGCTTTTTGAAATTATTATAGCAAAGACCAATTTAAAAATAATCATAACAAGCTTACAAAAAATCAAACAGAGAACAATTATATAATCAATTTTATTTCTCGAGTTTTTATATTAATGTTTAAAGATAATGAGCACATAGAACTTAATTGGTAAGTTCATACCTCATTCTTTTTGTTGTTTTATTTTGTTATATTGTTCACTTTTGACTTGACATTTCAAATAGGGGAGAAACAACTTTGAAGGCTTCGGCATTCCTCAAGAACAAATCATTACGAGATGACAGCCGCCGTGGTAATGGAAGTAAAGTTGATTGTATAATTAATATAATTGAAATTTTATTAGAAATAATAGTCATAGAAGTATCTGGATCACCTAGCAATCTTGATCACACCCATTATGTGGGTGATCGTAATAAGATCGCAAAGATGTTGAAAACTATCATCAATTATATTATTCTAAACTACCCTGGTAAATTTGAATTAATAAGGAAGATAAAATTCTATGGAATACAGATCTACAGTATGTTTTCATGTTTTTAAATTAGTATTTGCTAAAATCAATAATTTTTTTATTCTAATTTCTTTTTTTCTTCTGGTGAAATCCTATAGATCACACATTTTATATCTATTCGATGTGCATGCCATTTGCTTCAATTTATTATTTCAAGCTTGAATATAAGTTCACATGTCCAAAAATGATGCGAACACTTTCCAAAGAATTACCAGAATTCTGTTATAATTTATGGAAAATGAAAGTAAGTTATTCTGATAAAAGATTTTTGAATTATAATGCAAATTAATCTGAAGTTCTCTTGAAATTCAACCAGGATCTAGTTCAATTAACCATATCAGAAATTCTGGAATATGTTGATAGTGAGGAAACTTTAGATGAATGATGGAACATGAAAGGAATGGATTGCGTGCAAATATCTCATTTATGTTAAAATTTTTTTATATTGATGGAATGGAATGTATTGAATCCTTTTTTTTTTCAACTTTATTATATATTTATAGAATTATCAAAAACTAAAGACTTAATAGATTTTTTTTTTAAATTGACCTGAATATACATTGTTTCAAAAAAAAAGATCAAATTTACACATTTAATAATCAAGTGCATTTTTATTATTCTTATTAATTAATCCAACACGTTAATATAATATTTTCCTTTATTTAATTTATTTAACTATATTTAGTAGAAATTAGTGACGATGCGCCCATATGGGCTCATGAACCCAAATGGGCGCGTAAACCCAACTGGGCGCATGAACCCATATGGGCTCGTGAATCCAAACGGGCGTGAGAACCCATATGGGCTCCAGAGCCCAAATGGGCTTATAATTAATCAATATGTATATAAAGAACTCGAATTTGACCTACTGTAAAAGTAACTTGATAACAAGTTAATTAGTTTCGACTAAGAAAACTAAATAAATAAAATAAATATTTTATTTTAACTATTATCTTCTTTAAACAAAATTATTCGCTAACACCAAGATCAATTCGTTGATCCCCTATTCATTCTGATCCACGCAAAAATAAAAATAATTGTTATCACCAATTAAAATACGCTCTCCCAAATTTAATCGGTGACAATAGTAAGTTTGTATTAGATTTTTTTGCCCAGAGATTTCAATCTTTTGTTTCATAATAGCACATCCCATCTTGCTTTCTTTCCTCTTGGTAAATCTCATAGGTAATCCTTTCTTTTTTAGATAAGTTTTAAGTGCCAAGTATCATTTATTTTGAAAATATAAGGAGAATTTATTCACCTTGTTCCTTTTTCAAAATACTTCTAATGGTGCTGTAATTCTTTGGTTCCATGGCAGATCTGATGTAAATTAATTACATCTTAACTATTTTTATAAACAAATTGGACTGTTAAATTATAATTACAACATGCATGATTGTGATAATAATGACTAAATTTTGAACCCCGAAATTCTTGGTAATACCAATTTTCAATTTGCCTGGTTTTGTTGCAGTATGCCCCATATTACAGCAGATTCACGTGATATATAAATGTCCAAATTACCAAAATTGATAGAGGAAAACTGCAATTCTCCCTTTGGAAAATGAAATATCTAATAATG